GTGTGTGTGTGGGTGTGGGTGTGTGTGTGTGCGTGGGTGCGTGCGTGCGTGCGTGCGTGCGTGCGTGCGTGCGTGTGTGTGTGTGTGTGTGTGTGTGTGTGTGTGTTTGGAAGCTGCCAACTTTTTAATTGAGGCAGACAAGAAATTTTAACAAAGAAAATAGAGACAATTTTTAAAAAATTACAAACTCATATAATGCAAGTTTTACGAAAAAGGAAAAGAAACTGTCAGATTGTTTATATGTAATCATCTGTTGACATCTTACGAATTCAATTCAAATTATTATTATTTTTATTTTATAATTCTATGTTGATGTAGTAAAGCCAGAGTGTAGTAGCAATTAGAAATTGGTCCAATCAGGGACGCCCATTCCCCGTTTCTCTATTCCAACATGGCCCTTAGGCAAATCTACTTGTGTTGGCTTGCAAGTTTTCTTTTAGACTATTTGTTCCAGTGGGAATGGGTGGGGGTGGGGGGCAATTCAGATGTTCTGGTAGTCAGTGCCAGTGGCGTCAGATGTGGTCGCTCCACCCTCGGTGTACTTCTTTTCATGGAGGGCCGGCATTTTCAGCCGACAAGTTTTTAGCTTGAAAGGGAACGGTACAAACAGCTCACCCAGGGCGTCACTAAGTCTAGCTGCACCCCGTGAAGTTCTAAAGCATGGCACCACCATGCACTTCTAAATTATGTCATACGATGCCGTTCCAAATTTTGGCACCCAGACAGTTCTAAATTATCGCGCCTCTACCTCCTTCAAATGCTCAAGTTGCTTGTAACTGAAAGTTGAACATTTTTTTTTTATTTTTAAAACGAGCAACTGGAGAAGACAGAAGATACGAGTCCTAAAACAGCAGTCTTCTTATTATTCCAATGTGGTCAAAAACTATGAAACATAAACATTATTTAACTTTTTAGATGTTACATAGAACATTTAAAATTAACTGGTGTCGAATTAAAAGGCATTTCTTGAAAAAAGGCGTAACTCAATCAAGAATAAATTTTGAATTTCAGCGAACAGCTGTTGTGTGTGTGTGTGTGCGTGCGTGTGTGTGTGTGTGTGTGTGTGCGTGTGCGTGCGTTCGACGTCTGTATAGGGTTGCCCATTTCTAAGGCAGGAAAACGTCACATCGCGTTACGTGAAGCTGAATGTATTCAACTTTTTTTATTTTTCTCTGAATGTATTCATTTTTTTTTTATGTTTCTCTGAATGTATTCAAATATGTTTATTTTTCTCTGAATGTATTCAAATTTGTTTATTTTTCTCTGAATGTTTTCAAATATGTTTATGTTTCTATGAATGTGATCAAATATGTTTAAGTATAATTTATATGTTTATAATTCTTACACAAGTAAAAAAACTGTCAAAATCTATTGTTTAAAACAAATTCATGATCATCACTCAGATCCAGTAGTTATACAGGGGACATGCTCTCTGGAGCTTTTCTTTGTATGTAGGCCTATATGTGGTGTTAGTGTAGTATGTTGTTGATGTTGTTTTTTTGTGTTTTTTTTTTTTTGGTGTGTTGTTAAGGCGTAAATACTGAAGTGTGGGCAAGGCGAAAGATGATAATGTGTCACTGCATCATGTGGATGTCTGCCAAAGGAAGGGGAGGGGGCGGCACATTTTTTTCTTAATCTTGTTTTACACGGTTTAAGATAAGAATTAAGTTAAATGTGTCCTGCGTCCAGGCGAGAGTGTTAGACCTGTTCATGTATTTTGAGAATGCTACTATTCTCTGATGCTACTTACTCTTATATATTGGACGTAAAAGTTGAAAATATTCTTCTTCTTCTTCTTCTATATCTTAAGGGCCCACGATCAATTTATTGATCATTTTGGCTTCTTTCTTGGCCCAGAGGAATAATTTATGTACACGTCCTTTTCAGAATGTACACAATGATTGTACATCACTCTATTATTAGTCTTTAACCCGGTAATTTTTTAATTTTTGTTTTTTTTTTATCAGAAACTTAATTATAGAGGCTGTATGCCCTTTAAGCTGGCCTTATTTACCTTGTTCGTGAGTTACTATTTCAGGAAACAACACATTTTAACCAGATAATCGGACATACTTATCTTATAAATGGCCAAACATAAGTGTGAATTAAATTTTGGGCTTCATACCTATTTAATTCGTTAAAAAAAATTTAGTATTTTTTTTTTTTTTAAATCTGAAGAAAGCAAAATGCAGGTCTTGAATAACGTTGTTAAAAAAACGTTACGATAGGTTTAGTCATCTTGGCTACACAGTGGGATTAACCAGGCCGTACTGCCTTCCTCTCTTATGCCTTTTACCCCGTCTGTGGCATAGGCCGTCTGCAAGAATTTTCAATTCACCTCGGTCCTTTGATTTCCTTTCCAGTTGCTTCAGGGTGAATCCCGTACTATTATAAATTAAGTGGAAGAATGTTATACAAAAGAAAGGTAACTATTTTTTTTAAAGAGCAGGAGAATTTGATATAAAAGAATGGGCTGTGGTATAAAATCGTTCATAAACTTCCCAACCGAAAGTTTGAAATGCAACCTAAAAATTGTCTGAAAGAAACAACAAATTCAAGTATGCGCCAAAATGCACCCCTGCATTTTGAGTTTACCCGACTGTCTTTAGCACCTTAAATTTCTGCACCCCTTCACTCACGCTGATCAATGATATAGTAAGGGGTTGATTATAAGCGTATGCCAAATGATTACCCTGGTGACCGCCACAACCGGAGTGAATTCAGTTCATCTGTAACACTGGGCGCCATAATGTCTCACACAATAAATATTTAAAAATGTCCTTCCCGTTCAAAAAGTATAATAGAACCATTGAATTCAAGTATACTCAAAAATACACCTCTTGATTTTGAAATCATCAAACATTTTCTGTGGAGCAGGCTCCTCCAACGATCAAGATTCATCGGCGCCCTCTATTTCCGCCCTACTTCTCGAAGAAAATGTTCGCCAATTTTGTTATCGATAAATACACTGGCTCTGGGCGCAGCTCCTATTAGTGCTGCCATGGGCGGGCAAATAGTTTTGCTGTCCTCCCTTTCACGGTACAAACTCTGCAGTTGTCCGAAAATGCCACACATGCATATAAAGAAAAAGTGACACCTGGGTGGACCACCCCATCCGCCCTATTTCGACGACACTGGCAGGGGCGTATCTACAGTTTTAGGCGTCAGGGATAAAATTTATTTTTACGCATCCCCGATCAACTCTGAAACTGTTTTTTTTTCAACCATTTAATACCACCAAAGACCTTTGTGCCCCTCCCGCTGGTCTGGCGTCCCGGACATATGCCCCATCTGTCAACCCTTAGCTACGCCTGTGACCAACGACACAGCCCCACCCCCTCCGGGAAGGGGGATGTCTGAAAGAAATACTGCTCATGCTGCTGTTGAGACAGTCAAATATAAGTTTGAAGAATGTGTGGCAGCGATTGAAGCTCCTTGTCATCCTCTTGAAAATTTGGATACCAGGTCTTTTACATGCTGTCTATGATTTCACGTTTATCTGCGACGTTTTCCTTTGGGCTGATATACTTGATGGAGTTAATCTTACACAGCAGTACCTGCAGACAAAAGACTTTACAAACTGGTGACTATAGGGTGACCAACCTAGAGGCCTTCAGATTGTTTCTGCATGAGAAGCGCTGCCACTTGGCGGAAAGTGCTACTGAAAAGGCACTTTTAAAATTAGAATAATATTGAATTTCGGTAGAGAGAAGGTTAAGGTTTAAGAAGAGGAGGGCAGGAGAACAATTAATAGATGCTGGACTCGCTCTGCGATAAGATGTCTTTAGGGAGATGCTGGAGTGTATTGATCGCTTCCATTCTGAACTCCATATCAGATCATCAGTGATCATGGAAGTAGCAGATATGCTTGGGGCTGCTCAGCCCAAGAGTCTACTATCAGTAAGTGAATAGGTTTTTTTTTTAGTTTCTTTCTATAATGAGTTATGAGAGGATGAACTTTAAAAAGAAATACCAAGGCTTAGAAGACACCTAAAGGCAGCTGATATTGAATTTCACAAAGTCATGGACTGGTCAGTATTTGGTGTTTTGAAATTCATAGCTGAATGTGATTTCCTAGAATCTCTTCCGATACTCTCGCTAAGCCTTCAATTGTTTCTTACGATCTGTGTGTCTGAGGCTTCACGTGAGCGGAACCTTTCAAAACTAAGCCTTATCAAGAACTATTTACGATCCAACATAGGACAGTCAAGGCTTTCTGATCTGGCTCTACTATCCATTGAAAGTAATATGGTGAAGGATATTGATTTTGATTAAGTGATTGATAGCTTTGAAGACGAGGCGAGGAAATTTTTTTAAATAAAGAGTCAATGTAAAAATAACTAGAACTTAACGCTGTTACAGTTCTTGAATACATTCACCTCCTGACCTTCAATTAATTTGTTCTTGTCATTGTTATACTGTGGACTTATTTTAACAAGAAGAATCCATCGTGGGGGGGGGGGGGGGGGGGGGGTGACACCGTACCGGGTGACCCCAACCCTAGCTACGCCTACGCCACTGGAAATTGTTTTCCGAATGCAATACCGGGTACATTGGCTTGTTTTATTATAAAGATTATTATAATAAATATTATTAATCTTTATAATTGTCTTAAATGAAAATTAATGAGATGAAAAGAAATATATATTTTCAATTTTGTTTTTGTTAAATGGAGATACATTCTTATTTCAAATTTCATTGTTAGTTAGACTTTCGTGAGCACATCAGTCAGTGTCGAGCAGTGAAGTTAAAGCACCAGCAAGTGGGCTGAGTAGGCTGCGTAATGAATGTTAAGACATTTATTTTCTATTCTTTTAGTCTTCGAAAGAGATGTCTTATTTTTAGTTTTAAAATCTTTTTTATTCATAAAATTTACTAACTTTAAATTTAAAATGCTTTATAAAAAGAATCACGATTTTTGGAAATTGTTCTGTTTGCTTTTTTACAATTTTTTTGTAATATCTGAAAATTAAAAAACGTAACTAACTCTCAAATGGTAAGTTTATTTCCTGTTAGCGACACGAAACTTGACAGACTTCACATCTATAAATCATGGTCCCCAGTTGAAATTAAGATCCCTATAGTTATAATAATTCAATGGTATATAAAATGTGGGCGAATTTTAATCATATATAATTTTATTGTAAAAGTTCTTAACTATGTATGTCATGGAGGTCTTGCCGCTGACTGAGACTGAAAGTGCAGGAATGTATAATTATAATTATAGTACTGAGTACTGTGTAGTCTTCTGTTTACTTGCTCGACCATGACTAACCTATCACTAGGGTATGAGTTGACTTAATTGTAGATTAAACGTAAACTGGGTATACCCACAAACTTAACACTACTACTATCTAGACTAATATTACTATTAATGCTACTATTAAACGTAAGTAACAGCAACCAAATCTTTTGAGTCTTTCCTCTTTTTTGCGGCTACCAACTAGTTATAGTAGTATGCTAACTCTACTCAGCTGAGTACTCTATCAAACGTATTTTTAGTATATTAATATGGGGTACTGTAAATGTAGGCTACTGATAGTATTTTTTAAAAGTTTTATTTTAACTTTCTTTACTAAATTAACCTCAAAAATGTTTTTGATATTGGATATGACTAAAGAGAAGATCATTAGTCATTAGACCATCTTTATAACAAACTTCTCATCGACATCCCGTCATAGCTCAGAGTTAAAGTGATTTATTATTTTTAAACAGTTGTGATTTACTATTACACCTTTCATTACCGCTGGTTTTGGGCATCAATTTTTGCTGACTCGGCAATTAAAAACTTAAAGACGAAACTTTCTGTATTTGTTCATTCTCTATCCGATTGGCTTATTAACTTCTCTATAAATTAACGAATAAAGAAATATATAGCATTGAAATATGACGTCGATGTGGCATCCTTGGTATTTTAGAAAAGTTCTTTGTTACGACGACAATGTGGCTTCCTTGGTAATTGAAAGTGGGTGATCGTGATGTCACGTTGACGTCAGCGGTAATGAACTGGTTAAAGTAAATCTATCTCAGCTTACCAACACCTCATTCACCATGTAAAAGTTAAGCACCAGACTCAGACACCAATCACCAAGCCAAACAGAAATTGCTTTGACTTTGATTAATTTATTTTCTAGAATTGAGTTGACTTTATGTTTTTACTAGGTGGAGGGCGGAGAGACATAAGATTTTTTTAGGTAATAATGTTCGGCATGAGTTAAAAAAAAATAGAAAGAAACATTAGTCTGAGGTCATAAACAAGACACAACAAATCAGTTGTCAGCATTTGTAGATTTAGGCCTAATAAATTTAACTATAAAAAAATGTAATCATTATTTATTGTTAATAATGTTAATCATATTTCTTTTCTTTTTTTAAATATCAAAAGAACAAATTATATAGGAGGCTAAATCAACAAATCATAGAAAAAATGTTGCCAAATCAACTGTTTTTAATTTATTTTATTTATAGAGTATATCAATTTGTATGGCGCTGGTATAGTGCTGCAGTTATGCTGTAACTGTAGCCTACAGTCAATTACCTGGGACCCTGGTTAGTAACTTACATAATTTTGAGAATGTCATTATCCTCATCACTTTCTTATATCTGTTATCTGTTGTGTTTCTATGCAAGTTTATTCCAAAGCCTTAAATTCTTGATTTTAATTTGGAAGATTGTAGTCTATCATCTATGTAACCAACCAATAAGCAAATTTGTCATTAGCTGGTGTGGTATCCCAATTCCATAACATAATACTATCTATTTCATTGATTTATTATTGCCCTTGGATTAATGTCCCAAATCCATTGCTGCCACAATATATATAAGAATGAGCTATACTGACGTAACTCCAAAGAGCAGAGAAGATTTAAGTACGTTCGGATTCCTAAAAACAATCATACTTATTTTCTATTATTTTACGGAAATCAAATAAATTTAAATGTGCAAAAAATATTTTAAATCTGCTTTTATTTTATTAAAAGTTATAGTTATATTATTATAAATTAAAAATACATGTAAAAAGTATCAACTAAGGAATTATTTTAAGCATTTTATAAGTGTCTGAAAGTTATGAAAAAATAACAAAATCGTGATCAAAGAATTACACCATAATCACATTTATCGGGTAACCCAAGCATCAGTCGTTTTTAGTGCGTCTTTTAGTATGTTGTTAATATTGCGAAATATTACATATTTTGTTAAAATTAATTTGTTCTAAATAATCACGCAAATGATGTCATATTGCGAATAGCCTATTTCACCTATTTTAGGTTTCTCTAAATTTAATAACCTCGCGTGACAAAACTGATAATGTGTTTTCCCTTCTTAAAAGTAAAATTAGTAAATAAATTGTTAATAAAACACACACACATTTTTGCTTTGTATATTTTTACATTCAAAAAGTTTAGCCGTTTTTTATTCCAAAAATATACCAAAAATATACTTTAATTAAATTTATAACGTAATAAAAACTAACCTTTAAATATAATTCTAGTAAGAAAATGCGGTTTAAGTCAATCAGTGCAGTGCAAATCCATAGCTAAATAGCATTCACTAATCCACTTATACCTTATACAAATAAGAACGAACCATATAAAGTGCAAAATATGTTAGTTTGGGTATGGAAGAGACTACAATCGGTGGAAGATTTTCTAAATTTATTTAAATCTGGGTGGGGGAGGGGTTGGTCACTTTGCCCCAGGCAGCACAAGATACGCCTCAAAATAAAGGAATGAATTTGATAAATAATTAACCTTCTTGGGTACATTCATATCGGAGGTAGGAAATAGGATGTGTACATTTTTACTTGGATGACAATATATTTAAATCATATGGTATTACATTTGTGAAAAAAGAGATGTTGCATTCTCTTTTTTACAAATATGTGTATGTTCATTTTGCCCAAGGCAGCACAAGATAGTCTCAAAATAAAGGAATGAATTTGATAAATGATTAATTTTCTTGGGTAAATACATTTTGGAGGTAGGAAATAAGATGTGTAAATTCTTACGTGGACGACAACAGAGTTAACTCCTATGGTATTACATTTGTGAAAAAATAAGATATTACATTCTCTTTTTACAAATATTGGTATGTTCATTTTGCCCACGGCAATACAAGATACGTCCCAAAATAAAGGAGTTAATTTGATTAATAATTAACCTTCTTGGGTACCGGTACATACATATCAGAGATAGGAAAAAAGATGTGTACATTTTTACGTGGATGACAATATATTTAAATCCTATGGTATTACATTTGTGAAAAAAGAAATGTTAAATTCTCTTTTTACAAATAAACATATGTTTACCAATTAAGAAAATCAATGGCGTTAACAAATCTTGGGTACATTTATATAAGTATATTCGTGAATATCAAAACCCAATCATTTTAAACACTTGAAAATTAAATTTTAAGATGGGTTAATATTTTCTTTTTGAAAAAAATGAAAATATATTTTTGTTGTTACTTTGAAAAAAGTAAAGAGGTGTGTATTTTTATGAGATTAACAATTTAATTTTTTTAAAAGACAGTCAAATCTGATATAGGCATGAAAAACAGTTACGAGATTCTTCTTAGATATAAGAATTCTTTGTTTTACGATTTTCTGATAATGTATAATTTTTTAAAAAAGGCAAATATGTGTTTACATTTTTTATGAAGATATCAATTATTTGTTCTAGTGTGGTTTAGCATAATCTGCTATAGTCCAGATTTTAGTAGAGTTTCTATCTGTTATATGGTTAGGTGAATGTAATAATACATAACACTTATATACTAACTGCAATTCCAATGTTAAAATTTAAATCTAAATATGGAACATTATTAACTTTTCACATTATAAATATACTTTTCAGTACTAGTTTGCTACCACTGCGGCTTACCTAGAAAAGATGGGGGCTGAGAACAGCGTTTTGGAAGGTTGTCTTTGGGGCGATGCCATAGATTGTCCGCCTAAATTTCCTTGGCAGTTATCACCAGTTACAAAGCCAGATGGGACAGAAGCAACTGTATTTGAACCAAACATCCCAGATGGGAAAGATTCTGACTTGCTGAAAAAATGTGCATTGGTTAGATATTTATAGTTAATAGCTAATACATATTGACAGATCATACTTATGTGGTGTAAATCTTTAATATAATCATTATCCTGCTTACTATTCATGAGAGTGAGATTATTTTTGACGGGAAGCCTTATGAATTCGAAAGTTTGTTGCATTAATCCAGTGGTTCTTAACCTGGGTTCGATCGAACCCTAGGGGTTTGGTGAGTCAGTCTCAGGGGTTCGGCGGATGTCCAAAAAAAATCAGAAAAAAAATAATAATATTTTCCCTAATCAGAAGGGTTCGGTGAATGCGCATATGAAACTGGTGGGGTTCAGTATCTCTTACAAGGTTAAGAACCACTGCATTAATCATTAAATCTAATTTATATTTTTATCTCTAACTGTATTGCTACTTACAAAATAGAATATTTAAATACTTATTCAATATGCAATATTGATAATAAATGAATTAAAACTATTCTTTTTTTATAAACTCCAGTTATAAACAGTTTTTTTTTAATTTGATTGGCAGATCCTAAAAACTTTAAGGCACCCCAATATAGTTCGCTTCATTGGCTACAGCGAATCCAGTGATCGTGTATGGTTGGCAACTGAATCTGTTGTGCCTCTTGTCACTGCTGTTCCTGAAATGTCCCCTGAGGAGTTATGTGTAGGTCTCTGTGATATACTGCACGGATTAGATTTCTTGCATTCTAAGGTACACTGGCTTGTGCTCTGTCCATTTTACAGTTTTGAAGTCACCCAATAAGAGGAGAGATTATAGAATTTTTAGGATAAGACCTACTATTATACCCTAAAAGTTCAATTTGGCATTTTTAAATTTGTTTTAATTATTTGGTTTCAGTCTTTTGAAAAATGACTTAAGTGTTAAGTTTATTATAATATCATTTGAACAACTATTATAGTTATAAAAAAACTGGAAGAAATCTGATGATCAAGGTCAGTAAAGAAAACACATTTATTTTTTACAATTTGTTAAGGAATAAAAGATAGAAAAAGATTTGAAAGACAAAACAAATGATGCAGAATTCAAATCGTATTAAGCGTTTAAATATTTTTAATGGCGAATTTAACTTAATGTGTGTGCTGTTAACCTATTTTTTTTAAATACTGTGTTTGTTTATTGATCAGCTGGGTATGAACCACAACAATCTGTGCTTGTCCTCCATTTATGTCAGTCCTGATGGCACATGGAAGTTGGGGGGACTGGAGCATGCCTGCAAGTTTACTGATGCAACTCAAGAGTACCTTGAGAAATGTCGAGCATTTCGACATGAGGATTCTCTTTCTCCTGAAGAGAAGGTAACTTTAAAGAGACCTGCAAGCCAAAACATATTTCCAATTTATTTCAGAGAGTTGCGGATTTTTTTTTTTTTACAGTAATAGTTATAATCATGTTCTATAGTTGTTTCAATTTATAAGAGAATGATATAAATTCTTTGTAATTGCATGCTAATGTTGTTTTTTTTAATTTTAAAATTAATATGAGAAGATAAGTAAGTATTGTGTAAATAATCAAAAATGATAAGATACAAAATCAACATCAAACGTTATTTATTTACCTAAGATAAGAACTTTTTCCTTAACTGAAGTTACCATTGAAAGGTCTTTTATTATTCCATTCCCAGACTGGCAATGTCAGAATAGATGGAGCTTTGGGCCATGCCAGAGATATATTTGCCTTTGGAGCTTTAGTAGATTCATTGCTAGATCTGGTGAAAGAAAAAAGTATGTACAGTTGGTTATAATAATTTTATTTGCATTTATTGTACCATATATATTATTTTAAATTACATCCACATTGATTCAGTCTGATAAGACGTGGCAATGGTTACCTCATGGTACTGTAAGACACACACTTCTGCTGACTATGGAGGTCAGCACGAGTCAGTCTTGTCGGATTGGCTGCCTGAGAACATGATTATTATGCAAGTTCAGCTACCGTGATGAACGGTTGTATTTTGCACATGACATTAAGCAATTATGTAAGCGTCAATAAAGTTATTCCAAGTAAAGATATTCCAAGTAGTTTTGACTTGGTTCTTTGAGTACAGTGTAAGTGAACGGAACACCAAAAGGATTCTTCATGCACAAGGACGCCTGAAACAACTTCACTACAGTGTCTAAATTTTGAATGAAGTACTTTTTTTCCAAACGCATTTTGTAAAGGCATTAATTTTTTTTTTATTTGATAATGCCATAGGATAGAAATGTCCTCAGGTTTGTTTTACCTCAGCTCATTGTTAATGAATTTCTCAAGTAAAAAGTAATTTTTTGCCGTTCCCAACCAGATGATATAATTAAGACATTAGACCAGCAGATGTCAGTTTGTTCTAGTGCTGATCCTGCCTCAAGACCAAAAGTCACAACTCTGCTTGGGATGACTGCACTGAAGTAAGATCTTTTGATTCATAGATTGTAAATGGTGGATTAACTTGTTGTCTGTATTACTTTATATGATTTTTTTTGTTATTCAATGGTAGTTTTAAAAAAGTCATATGCCATATTTCTGTGTGGAAAAAAAATATTCCAGGAAGCAAAATACTTGCATCAGTGATTACCATATTTTCCCATATATAAGATGCGTCTTATACAAAGTTTTACATACCCCGCACCCAGGTGCATCTTATGTATGGGTGTGTCTTATAATAAGGTGACAGGTTGGAGGCGGTCCAGCGACGAGCAGCACGCTTTGTCCTAAACCGCTACAGGAATACCTCAAGTGTTGGCAGCATGCTAGAAACACTAGGCTGGTCACCATTGGAGAAACGACGACGACAATCCAGGCTCTCCATGATGTACAAGATAAATAATGGGCTGGTCCACTGTTCCAGTATTAAACAGAAACTCGTACCTCTCCCCCATAGACAGCGACGAGGCAAATCAGGGACTGGAACAATCTTTCAAAAGGAACGGTTGAGGCGACAACACTAGACACATTTGTGTCTATTGCCTCAAGCCTTCAAACCCCTAGTGCATGATTCCCTCACAAAGTGGCACTGGAAATCTGTGAAATTTCCTCATCAACACCAGGAACAGAAACATTGCAAATCCCATCTACATGCATAGGAGCCAAAATGATCAAAAAATTGATCGTGGGCCCTTAAGATATAGAAGAAGAAGAAGGTGTCTTATAGTTATATGCGGGGAAATAATGTACATCTGGCGTTTATTGTTTCAAGAATCTAGATATAGGTACTCAACCCATCCGCTATTTGGCCCGGCAGCAGATAAGAATAAACAATAATCATTGAGGTCCTGCCTCAAACAATTCTTTGATCTACTGGTAAACTAAAAATGGTAATGAAGACTTGTTTACATCCAACATTGGACAAATTTTCATTTATGATGAAGGAAAGGAAACCACTGAATATAAATTGCTCAGTGTGGCAGATGGCTTGGCAGCTTGGGACTTCTGTAATTTTTATGTACACAAATCGCCAACACCTGGATCTTATATACAGGTGCAGCTCATATATGGGTGCCTCTTAAGTAAAATATTTTTTTACACAAATCATCAAAACCTGCGCCTTATATACGGGTGAGTCCTATATGAACGAAAATACAGTAATTATTTTTAAATTTGACTTAAGATTATAAACTTTCAAAAAGATCAGGGGCTTTATGAATTGCTTTGATCATAAAATTATTGTTTATTTCAATCCACCCAGGCTTTCCTAATCTAATAATTGTTTTATCATTCACAGATCAGATCTACTTGAAATACTCAGTTACCTCAAGAACATAGCTATCAAATCTGATACAGAGAAAAGGGAGTTTTTTAGGTACTTTATTGTGTCCCTGTATAGATCTTGGTCCTCCTGACAATCCAGCATGATTTTCAAACATGATTTTTGATCTGATATTTTAGTTCACATAATATATTTAACCATTTATTTCACTTGAAATATTTGTTTTGTAATGTGAATGTCTACTTCTTGGTCACTGCAGTCACCTTGTAGAGAGGCTACGTAAGATACCTGAGACAGTCTTGGCAAGAAGGCTTGTTGTTCCACTTCTGGCTAGATTTGTCCTGCTGAATGAGTGGGCTGATAAACTTGTGTTGCCATACTTACTGAGGCCAAAGAGGGGTAAGTTACTTAATGCAAAGCTTTAAAAAAAAAAAAATTCAAGTTATGGATTTATAATGATTTTCTTCAAGAACACTGTTGACAACAGTTATTTATTTTTTAAAAAATATTTTAGACATTTTTTTAAAAAGTATCATCATTGTATAAGTACCCATGACCTAATACTTGTTGATGGATTATTTCAAGTCAACAGTTTGACATAGAATTTATCTTCCTTTTGATTTATAATTAAAACATTGTGCATCCAGATTCTACAGGAACAAATTCTTCAGCAATCCAGGGCCTTTTAGATGAGTCACTCTACAAACAGTACGTCATCAATCATTTGTTCAACATTTTCCATGTTCATGACAGCCACATACGTTTGGTTCTTCTAGAGCATTTCTCACATTACGTGCAATTATTCACAAGGGCACAGCTGGAGGATGACATATTTATTCAGGTGGAGAAAAAAACTTAATTTGTTATGTTTTAATTGACACACCATTAGTTTGTTATGTTTTAATTGACACATCATCAGTTTGTTATTTTTTAATTGGCACACCATTAGTTTTTTTTATGTTTTAATTGACACATCATCAGTTTGTTATGTTTTAATTGACACACCATCAGTTTGTTATGTTTTAATTGACACATCATCAGTTTGTTATTTTTTAATTGGCACACCATTAGTTTTTTTTATGTTTTAATTGACACACCATCAATTTGTTATGTTTTAATTTGCACACCATCAGTTTTTTTATGTTTTAATTGACACACCATCAATTTGTTATGTTTTAATTTGCACACCATCAGTTTGTTATGTTTTAATTGACACACCATCAGTTTGTTATGTTTTAATTGACACACCATCAGTTTGTTATGTTTTAATTGACACACCATCAGTTTGTTATGTTTTAATTGACACACCATCAGTTTGTTATGTTTTAATTTGCACACCATCAGTTTGTTATGTTTTAATTTGCACACCATCAGTTTGTTATGTTTTAATTGACACACCATCAGTTTGTTATGTTTTAATTGACACACCATCAGTTTGTTATGTTTTAATTGACACACCATCAGTTTGTTATGTTTTAATTGACACACCATCAGTTTGTTATGTTTTAATTGACACACCATTAGTTTGTTATGTTTTAATTGACACACCATCTGTTTGTTATGTTTTAATTGACACACCATTAGTTTGTTATGTTTTAATTGACACACCATCAGTTTGTTATGTTTTAATTTGCACACCATCAGTTTGTTATGTTTTAATTGACACACCATCAGTTTGTTATGTTTTAATTGACACACCATCAGTTTGTTATGTTTTAATTTGCACACCATCAGTTTGTTATGTTTTAATTGACACACCATTAGTTTTTTTTATGTTTTAATTGACACACCATCAGTTTGTTATGTTTTAATTGACACACCATCAATTTGTTATGTTTTAATTTGCACACCATCAGTTTTTTTATGTTTTAATTGACACACCATCAATTTGTTATGTTTTAATTGACACCCCATCAGTTTGTTATGTTTTAACTGACACGTTAACACCATCAGTTTGTTATGTTTTAATTGACACACCATCAGTTTGTTATGTTTTAATTGACACATCATCAGTTTGTTATTTTTTAATTGGCACACCATTAGTTTTTTTATGTTTTAATTGACACACCATCAATTTGTTATGTTTTAATTGGCACACCATCAGTTTTTTTATGTTTTAATTGACACACCATCAGTTTTTTTATGTTTTAATTGACACCCCATCAGTTTGTTATGTTTTAACTGACACGTTAACACCATCAGTTTGTTATGTTTTAATTGGCACACCATCTGTTTGTTATGTTTTAATTGGCACATGAAGGGATTTTTATAAAAGGTGGCCATTGGCTTGAAGTGAACTGGTGAGATCATCGTTACTAAATTTAAACCATAAATGAAAATGTGATACAGTTATCTGAACTTTTTATTTATTAAAGCAAAGTCTATTCTGTTAAATCATTTATTTATTAAGGCAACTGTCTATTCTATTACATCATTTGAACCTTTTATTAAGGCAAAGGCACAAGTTGCCGTTAATAGCTTTGAGGTAAGAGGCTATGGTGCAAGTCTCTGGCCGATGATTTTAACTACGCAGCCCAGAGAAAGCTGCTGCAAGGCAACCATTTCATCCCAGCTACTTTGCAAATTTGTTGTGTGGTGGAAACCCAATGTAGGAAACCCTCTTAAAGGGCCTCCAACACTTCCCCGGGATGGGTGGGGGAAGATATTAGGATGTAAATCTACCATCCCGACCCCCTGGGAGAGTCGGCTGAAAATACTTTCAACTCTGCATTTTCGGTTGACCGGACATCCCCAGGCGGGGAAAGCTTCCATTCGCTAGTCCTTTGATCGTCTTCAAGTGGGGGTGGGGGTTCCAGGCCATGGGAGGCTGTGCACACCAGCTGGGAGGCTGCCCCTTACAGCTCTCTAGGTAGCTTCTTCAATTTTTGGGTAAGGTTTCCTAGCCATTGTGGATCCCCCCCACTTCCTACAAGGCGGTAGGTTCTGATATTTGGTACGTCCTGTGTATTTTATTTCCCCGGTACCCTCCTTATCTGGTGGGCTTTCCCATATCCACCACCGGGGGAGGCGGTTGATGGTAGATCAGTATTTCCGCTCGAGTGACAAAATTAAACCCTCATTAATATGTTTTATCCTTCGTGCCACAAAATCTTTAGTCATGCATTATATTAACTTATTTGTCAACTAGATTCTGCTGGGCGTGAGGGACACAGATGACAGGATTGTGGCAGCCAGCCTGAGAGCCCTGGCTGACCTTGTCGCTGTTCTAGGCGGGGACTTTGTCATCGGGGGAAGTAGAAAGTCATTTTTTTTCCATGGGTTACCTAAGGTTGGTCATTTATCCTGTAAGTCTGGTAACAATATTATTCTCATAATTGAAAGTTAACCTTGAAAAACATAGTTTCTCTTTCTTATTGCTTTTTTAAAATTATAATTTTATCCTTCCCCTTGTGTTAGTTTGGTGTTAGGTAAACTGGTTAGGTCAAGTGAAATTAAGTCCTAGAAGAAATTTTCAATAAATATGGATCAGTCATAGGCACTAATTTAAAGAAAAGACATATTGGTGAAAATTCTATAACTACTCTCTTTCAGTTGCTCATTCTCAGTAACTTTCTAACATTGGCAGGGTATTGCCTCTGAATACTTAAAACTGCTTTTTAATCTTCATTTTTACTTTTGCGAGAGTCGATTTAGGTACAAAGAAACAACAACAACAAAAAACAATTTTTATTAAAAATGTCCTGTATAGAAAAATTGAATGAGAAAATAAGAAAATTGTAGAACAATGTTGGTTCACTTGATAAGAGAACACTAAATTGTCCCCGCCACTGACAGAGTACAAGGAGTAGGGTTACTAGACACACTCAGGCCTCTGCTGCTCCCCCCACACTCTATTTTTGTTCATTAAAACATTATTTTCCTAGCAGTTTGTCTTCTTTCCTTTTCTACTCATTCTTGAAATTATATTAATAATAAATTATTTTATGCGGGCTAATGTCCTATCTTTTCTCTCAAATGAATGTTAGAATAATAATATCTTAATTAATATTCTATAATCATAAGTTTATCTCACTACACAAGGGCATCATCAGTTTTTGTTTAAAACCCTTGTTAGAAGATGTGAACATTTTTCTTCAGAAAATAACAGCACAAGACATGGTTAAGATGGAGATACCCCAGAACATGTCCTCAGCACTGTCTCATCACAAACCTCTGTTAAAAGATCTAGCCTATGGGAGGTAACTAAGATTAAGTTAGATTTTTAGATTCTTGAACCAGGACGAAGCTTAAATAGGGTGAACGGGCTTGTCGTCTCAGCTGTTTTCAGTTTACAAGAGGTAGATCTTATTTAAATTTTTTAAAAAATTTTGGGATCAATTCAGCTTTCTAAGTTTTTCTATTGAATGTGTTTTTCAAAATAGGTTAAAACTTATTTGTATTATTCAGCAGAACTTTACCTGCAGGAAAGGACTCGCTGTCTGTTGAAAAAGAGAGGAGGATGAAAGAAAAAGAGCAACGAAGAGAGGAGGCAAAGTTAAAGAGGGAGGAAAGGAAGAAGAAATTGAAAGATAAAACCAAAGAAGTAGCAGAAGGTGAAAAACAGTGCATTGAATCTTTATATATAGTTAAAGTTTCTGCTATTTAGGATGTAGAAATGGGCTTTCAGAATTTTCTCTCGTGTTGCTACAGATTTATTATACAGTCCATATATTGGGCAATGAAAAAAGAAGTCTTGAGTAAAAAAAAAAATTGAACTTCTGCAATATAGTTTTGGCACCTCTTTATTTTTCTACACATTTAGATGAAGTTATCTTCAATACTTGATCTAATATTATTTATTTTATTTTTGGTATTTGTTTTTTAAAATAAATATATAAAATAAATTGTTTAGTTATTTATGTTAACGGCAATAAAAACATGCAGAGATGACAATAATTGATTCAGTATAGTCGATGGAATTATAGAAAATGTAAGCATACTGGAAAATGTCTGGGGTTTAAAATCATTATTCTAAAAGAATAGCTTTAAAAATTTTGACACAAACCTTACTGTGAATTGGCAAAGGTCTTGTTTTTTTTTTAATGCTAAATCATCTTTGTATTGATTTGTACCTTTCAGACCAACTGACAGCTCCAGGCCTTACCATTGAAGAAGTAGCCCATCTTGACCAGGAGGAAAATTTATCCACTAAATCCAAGAAACCTGAGAGTGACAGTGAGAAAAGTGAAGCTGATCCTCCTGAAGATAAAAATGGTTTGATTGATGTTGATGACGTACAAGAGAAAGATTCTTCAGAGTGGTCCGACTGGGAAGACCCCGAGCGCCGCATCAGTGCGGAGATAGAAGCAGAACTTGAGAGCATGACCAGTAATACAGAGGGAGATGCCAAGCTGCAGACATCTCCCAGTCCTTACAGGAGTCAGTCCCCTCCTTCACCCCCTCCCATGAAAATAGACTGGTCGGACGTGCCTGAAGCTGACAGAATGATTGACCCCTGGAATCCCTCAAAAGCTGCCGGGAAAACCAACCAAAATGGTCCACTGACTCTTTTCAATAAACCTAGACCAACCAGCGGGTCTGAGGTGAAGGCTGAAAAAAATGGAGATACGGCGAAGGCAGATTCGGAAGATTGGGGCAGTGAGACATGGGAAGTAGATGTCAGCTCTAAAACTTTAACTTCACCACTGCCCCATACAGGCCTGCAACAACCAGTGCCCTCAAAAGGTAATAGTCTGAAACTCACAACAACTTCAACGGCTGTGAAAGCCCAGGTGAAAAAACCTGACCCCAAAAAAGTCAGTGACGACCTGGGGATGGGCCTGGACATCAAGAGTATAGAAATAAAAGCCAAGCCGCTGAGCCCAGAGCTGGATTTTTTTGCAGACATGGCACCAAGTATATCTCAATCAAAATCTAAAGACTTTTTAGATTTGTTGGAACAGGAGAGTAGCCGGCAGGCGTTGTCAGCAACAGCCCCAAGTGTCGGTGGTGACACCAGTGGAAAGGAAATTCTCAATGGGAAAATCAGTGAAAAGGATTCCGACGCCAAGAAAAATAACACACTGTTTGCTGTGATGCCTGCTACAGAAGATGTGAGTGTGGTTTCTCATATTCATGTAACAATCATTTGATTTTTTTTTAAAAACATTTGGATAAAAGAAATTTCAAATCTGATTAATTAAAATATTTCTCTTTAACCATAATATGTGTTCACACATGCTACATTACATCACTCAATGGTTCTAACCATGTTGTGTTCACACATGTTACATTACATCACTCAATGGTTCTAACCATGTTGTGTTCACACATGCTACATTACATCACTCAATGGTTCTATCCATGTTGTGTTCACACATGCTACATTACATCACTCAATGGTTCTATCCATGTTGTGTCAACACATGGTACATTACATCACTCAGTGATTCTAACCATGTTGTGTTCACACATGCTACATTACATCACTCAATGGTTCTATCCATGTTGTGTTCACACATGCTATATTACATCACTCAATGGTTCTAACCATGTTGTGTTCACACATGGTACATTACATCACTCAATGGTTCTAGCCATGTTGTGTCAACACATGGTACATTACATCACTCAATGATTCTAACCATGTTGTGTTCACACATGCTACATTACATCACTCAATGGTTCTAACCATGTTGTGTTCACACATGCTACATTACATCACTCAATGGTTCTAACCATGTTGTGTACACACATGCTACATTACATCACTCAGTGGTTCTTACCATGTTGTGTTCACACATGCTACATTACATCACTCAATGGTTCTAACCATGTAGTGTTGACACATGCTACATTACATCACTCAATGGTTCTAACAATGTTGTGTTAACACATGCTACACAAAGCTTTATTTATCTTCAAAAGTGAGAAAAAATTTAATTTAATTCAGGAAAATAATGATGTAGAGTTACTATAAGTTATTAAAACATTAGTGACCATGTAACATGGGTTTGTAGTTGTGACAAAGCAGGCTCATTCCTAAAATGCTGTTCCTTGTACTATACCACTGTGAAAGATTTGGTTTCCAAGGACTGTGTTATGTGCTAGTAACCAGTTCAATAAAAAGGACAACAGAAATATTTCTCTTTTCTTTTTTTTTTAAAACTAATTTTTTTTTCTTCTATCCAGGATGATGCTGGCTGGGCAGAAGATGGTGCTGACTGGGGGAATGATGAATTATAACATTGTGAACAACACAGGGATTTGATATCATTTGGCTGCCATTTCTACTCTAGGGAAAAATATATGACTTATCATTAATATAATGGTGCGAAAAATATTCCATGTAAAAATTCTAAAAGGGTCCCAGATACCTAAAGAAAACTGAAAATAGTTAAATAGTTTTCTTTTGTCAATCTCTCTGTGGAGGGGTGCATGTGGGTTTTTGTTATGTAGACTGACAGGTTTACCCTACTGGCTTACTTACTGCTAAGATACCAAACTGTTGTGACATTAGTAAAACAAAGCAACGTTCTTAACCAAAGGTGTTGTTTTTTCAATCTGAATGAAAAGCGTGTGTGTGTTTTGAGCTTAATTGTAGAATTATATACAATGTATTTAGGTCGTTTTCATTCAGAGAAACTTCATTCTGATTCAGTCGATGCATTGAATTATGAGATAATTACATAATATGAATTCATTTGGGTTTCAACAATGATCAATGTTTAATTAAAATCACATGAATTTTACTGGACTGCTTGTCACGGAGTACATGTTCAATGTTATTTTTAACTGTTTTAACTTCTTATTTTATGGGCTGCACGATATGATTTTCTGGTTCTGATTATTAGACATATTTATTTATTTAATTAAAATCTAATCTTATTTGTTTACTATTGTTCAGAGGCTAAAAAAGTGTGATAATTAATAAATTTAATAAAGTAACCACAAAAAAAACATGTAACGTCTGACAGTCTTTGCACCATATTATTTTTAAAATTTTTGTGCTTGTGTTAGCAGGTATGGGTCTTATATGAAGTGGGTTTAAATCTCAGCATGTGTATAATTTTTATGTTATATTGTCATGCCCTTAAGTGAAGTGTTATGCAGTACCTGGGTGCATGTTAGGCAGTACCTTGGTGCATGTTAGGAAGTACCTAGGTACATGTTTGGTTGGCAGTACCTGGGTGCATGTTAGGCAGTACCTGGGTACATGTGTGTTAGGCAGTACCTGGATACATGTTAGGCAGTACCTCGGTACATGTGTGTTAGGCAGTACCTGGATAAACTTTACAGCATATTCAAACCACTTGTGGACCGCTGCACTAAGTCCTTAATTTACTAAGCCAGAAACATAATGCTCATCCTTAACACTGGTCATTTCACCTGAGACTTGGCTCACTTTTATTGGCTGTATTGATTGGTAATGAAAGAATTTTAGTTTAACTGGTTTATCCTTTGGTAAATTTATGATTTACTACTTATTTATAAAATGTATATAAGGTGGAAAAAAAAAAGAAAATTTTGTGCAATTTCATTTATGAAATATTTATAACCTTTGCATGTCAATTTGTTTACAAATGGCTTTAGCTTAATTGGGTGTGGCAGGCAGGTGCATTAATGGACCCATCTTTAAAAGAAGTTATTTTTGCATGGAGTGACGGATTTTACAAAGTGAAAATAAATGAGAGGTAACAACATTAATTACCAGCTGGTAAAAGATGTGATACATGTGGACATTTTCAGTTACATCTGTCCAAAGTACTCTAAGCAAGTATTTTTTTTTAAAAGATAATGGAAGATTTTCAAAAAGTGTTCCAGGTTTATTTTTAACCCAACATTCCCTGCATTTTTAAAATTATTTATAGGTTTTTATTAGTTTGAGGTTACAACAAAATTTTGTTCAAAGATATAGTTTAAGTTGCTTTATTGTAATTGTTACATATTTAAAATTTGTGAAACACTACAATGTTTTGTCTACCTGGCGCCCTGAGGTTTGTTTGAGAGAATTCATTAACATGATTGTTGGTGCACCGGCGTTAATTTCTTTGAGGCCGCCATTTCTCCAATATAGGTGTGAGCCGAGCTTGTTGCATGATTAAGTTGTAAAATAATTCTGACCATAAGAAAATGTTAATTTTTCTATCTATAGATATTTACAGTGACCTTTTTTGCTCTGGGTGTAATCTTTCTTTGATACAGTGAAATTTCTGTTTTCCTCAGTGACAAATCTGATCCTAAGGGGGGAGCAGTACTCTCAAAAACTGCTGCGAATTCAGTTATGTTCTGACCATACCTTGAAAACACAGGCACAATAAACTTATAACAAATTTAATGGCATTCTCCAACAAAGACCTGCATATTATTTTCCCCAAAAGTCCAAGTAGACCATCACTACAATTCTTGACCCTGTTGTTGTTTTGAATTTAAATACAATTGTTCTTTTACAATCTGCCTAATTATAAGTCCTGACACATCCATGTGTGATTATTTTTAACCAGGCGGCAATAAACTTGAATGTCTGAGGTTTTACAAATCTGAAAACTTAATTTTGTAAAATGTGCAATGATGTTTGTTACCCTGTAGTTGGTGTCACATGAGCCTGAAACATTTGAGGAATAATTATCAAACTACTTGATTCATTTCTCTTAAAAATGCCATTGTGTAATTGGTTCCTCTGAGCCAATCACTTGTGATCCCTATTTTTAACCTCCACATAACGCTAATATGCCAGGCCTGACATTGTTATGACACAGTATTTATAAACCAGGCCTTCATTTGGGATTTCTCAAGGTATGTTCCATTTCAAGTGGCTTTAGCTTTCATCATGCTTCCAAATAATCACACATTTCAGAAAGCACAGCTGGCGTATAGTTCTTATATCATATGTTTTTTGCTGGTGATTGTTGAAATTTGATGAAGATGTTGACTTGATGGTTCAATGATGTTGCCCAGTGTGATTTATTTTATGATTGGTATTAAATAATAATTTTAAAACTATACCAGCCAAGGCCTTGATTTTTTTTATTTCAACATTGAAGATGTTTTTAACAGATGAATGAGTCAGCAAAAATCAAATGAAGTATTTGTAATCTGAAAATGGGGAGGGGTGAATATTCATTGAAGCAGTTTGAATTAATTGAATGGGGGAGGGGCAAATAGACATTGAAGCAGCTTGAATTAATTGAATTAAAAATCTGTCTCCCTAAACTGGCAAATAGATTATAATCAACCTCACTTATTAAAACTGCAGAATATGTATCTGTAAATTATCTAAAAATATATAATCTAAAATTGACCTAAAGATTTGATTACACAATTTTATAAGTCTGCTTTCTAACAAAATATTTTGTAGCAATGTGATGGCATTCAACTCAAAATTTACAATCTTTTGTCACCTCAACACAAATATTTTACTAAAACATTCCATTGATATAAATGTTTTAAGTTTTATTGTCATTTTACTGTCAGATATTTCAACCCAATGAAGATCAATAATAATAAAAAATAATATGCAATCCAGTTTTAAATAAATAATAAACAAAAATACATTTTGTCAGGAATAAATGGACGGAACTGAAATATTTAGCTTTTTTTGTTTTTAATTCTCACGTGTAAATTGATTTTATTTGAACGCAGATCTCAATGTGTAGACTTTCATGAAACATTCACACATATCACAGGTTTTTTTTAAATCCCACAATCACTTTCCCGCCAGGAATAAATATTTTTTAAATAAATTTTTATTGTTTTCAAATTCAGTAGTTATTTGTATACTCACTTGTTATGATTAGATTTTTTGTTTAAATTGATACATCATTAGGTTTTCAAATTTTTTAAATTAAATTTACACAAATTTGAATTTTCAAGTTATTTATAGACAAATAAATATTGAGAAATGATTGTAGAAGTCATAAAAAAATAATGTATAAAAATGTATTGCAAGGCAAAATAAAAGGTGGACATTATCTTCAAGCCTTCTTAACCTACTTTAATTAGAAGTTATTTTAAATTGTAGAAGTGTAAATAGAGTGTCTCAAAATGTTTAAATGGCCCAGAAATCAGGCATTTTTTTTAGTAGTCACAACGACACACACAAAAATTATCTGTTTGTTTTTTAAATTGTTTTCAAAAAAACAAGTTTCATGGTTATTCTTTTTTCAGGGTATAATCAAAGTCTGATTTAAGATACAAAACAAAAGTTCATCTTTGTTCCTAGCTTTTGATTTGTATACATACATAATGTTTAATTCTATATATGATTAGTCAAGAGCAGCACTGTTTTATTTTGTACATAAACACACAGACATATGCCCAGCCAGTTATCGATATCCATAGTCCCTGTACATGGGGTTCTTTTCGGGATCTGCATTTAAATATTGGCCATAATCTGAACCATAAGGGTCAAGGCCACGTCCAAATACGTCCGGGGGGTGACCATCTGGAGCAAAGCCGAGATGGCCTTCTGGTCGAACGTATGGGTCATCAGTTTCATATCTGCAGAAAATGTTTTGAACCAAGTGATTAGATTAAATTTTCAATAAGTCTAAAAAAAAAAAATTAACTAATTTTGTACAGTGTTCTGTTCACTATAACCTGGAAATGCCATGGATTTAAAAATGACTACTTTACAGTAAGAAATTCATCTAGCACAGTGGTTCTCAACCTTCCTAGTGCCGCGACCCTTTAATACAGTTTCTCGTGTCGTGGCGACCCCAACCACACAATTATTTTCGTTGCTTCTTTATAGCTGTAAGGATATGTGTTTTCAGATTGTCTTATGCCACCCCTAGGAAAAGGTCATGCTACCCCAAAGGAGTCGCGACCCACAGGTTGAGAACCACTGATCTAACAGATTGTATAACATTATAACTCTATTAAGTGACAGAATTTATAATCGGTGTTCCACTTTACTTTTCCTTTACTAATGATAATCAGTTGAATCCCTATTATTGTCCTCTGGGTGACTGTACTGATTCCTCTGATGTTAATTTATTTCATGTTAGTTTCTCCATAGCACATATTGCAACTAAGTTACAGTACGGCACATGTTGCAACTAACTGTTTGGCACATAATGCAGCGAACAGTTTAGGTTTGATGTAAAAAATTTTTTTTAACTGTTTCTTCTTTCATGATAACTGATTTCAAATTTTATAATTTAAAATTTTTTTACCCATAAGGTTGCTGTAGGTAGAAATCTCCATACGTCCCAGCATCATCGATGTACTCTGGTGTCAAATGTCCGTTATTCTCATAACCCTCTGGAGGGGAAAAAATGAATGATTAGTGCCATTTATTTATTTTGTAAATACCAACTTTTGTATTGCTACTGGGTTTTTTTTCCTGAAAATACTTCAGTAAACCACATTAGGAATATCCAATGAAAACTTAACTAGGTATTCTTTAGTATTTTTTAAATTTTTTACACAAAATTTCTCTAAACCATTGGTTAGCAAACTCATTCGTCAAACGAGTCAAAAATCAGCAGCAGGAAGATTAAAAAAATGTTGAGAGCCAAATTTATTTTCAAGAGTCAAAACTGATTTCTGTCCGGCTAGCCAAGCCCTGATTTGCCGATCACTGCTTTAAACCAAGTCAAAACAAATATAAATAATTAAAAATTGACTATTTTTATGTTATGGCTTATGCTGCATGGTAAAACTAACCAACCATGGGTTAACAGGAATTACCCAGTCTGCACATTTAGTGGTTATAACAGTTGAAAGACTGAAGCAAAATAAAATTTAAGAACAATGAGCTGACCTTATGATATTAATACCAGTACAAGTCATTTAAATAACTATGTAGCTTGGTAATCTATTCAAATCATTTTAAATTACTTTTTAACTTGGTAATCTTTTTTTAAAAATTGAAATGAGTGATCTTTTTCAAAATATTGGTTTAAGCTGCATCCCTTTAAAAGTAAGTTAACTCAGACTACTGAACATATTTACCGTAAAACAAATCAGGCCGATCTAAAATGTCAGCATCCTGCAGGTAGGGGTCGAACCCTGGCTCATCAGGATACATGTAAGCTGAGTCGGCAAACTCATCCACTTGCCTTGACTCAACCATCTCCAGCCACTGAGAATTGTGCCAGCGAAACTTTTCCAACTGTATTTTTTTGGCCCATTCCTCATCAAATTCCTAAATGAGAGAGAGAGAGAGAGACAAGAGAAATCTTTAAAAATTAGATGTTTAGTCATTTTATTTAGAGCACTTATTATGGATAGGTTTTTTGTAAAGTCTTCACTTTTTAAATACATATTTAAAATTGCACATTTTTTAAAATTAACTACGGGATAAATTTCTATTTACAAATTCAAAGTAAAATATTTTTCAAAATTTCGCACTTTATTATAACAAGTATTCATAAGTCAGTTGGCTTGAAGGTGTGTTTGTTTTGTTTTTAAATGAAATTGGAATGAATAGAGCATTTTCATTGACTTTACAGAATGTGCGATCTTGAAAACTTTTTGAATTATCAGAATTATTGTTATGGTACCAGTATTTTCTACAGTAAATTGCCCACACTATGTATCTCAGGATGTTAGCTTCCTGTCAAACTCCTGTTTATACTAGATTGGTTAATTCATAAAGTTCTTTTGCACGTTGTAATACGTCGTACTATAACTGAATCAACTCAAATCATTTTTCATAATAAATGCAACTTTAATATATAATGTAAATTCACAGACTGTTAATTCCATAGTCATGTATAGCACAGCTCACTATCAGAGAGAAATGAAACACAACCTTCTTCCACAAAGTTCCTTTCACGACTGCTGCACGAATAAAACTTATGACACAAAACAGACTAGAAAATACTTTATAATGAGCATAAAAATACATCACAAAGTCAAGCGCAGGAAAAGCGCTCGCTAATTAATCTCTCAAAAACACAACACGCGTAATCAAACATAATATCCAGTCGCAACAATTATTAATGACCTCCCATACTCGACGCCCCAATCAAATCCAAAATATTGTCCCACTCTCTTTATCTCAGTGTGTTAACTTACCCCAATCATGTCTAAAGTATTGTCACACACACTCCGTATCTCAGCGTTCTTGTCATGCATCAAGTCAATCAGGTACGCCGGTGCCTCTGATGACAGTTAAGATCAACAACCTTCCATTTTTATAATGTTAATTCTTAAAAGTTTTCCCTAAACACTTATGAAAACATTAAATTCTATGTAATATTTTTATTGTGATAAATTGTAAATTTCATGGATACGTGTTTCCTTTATGATGATTTCTCTGGTTGCTTCGTGAAAAATCATCTGATAAAAGACATAGACAATCTGGCAAACTACTTCGTCATCTTCTTGTTTAGCTGGAAAATAAACAAATATAATAAAAAAAATGTAATTTAATGATCAGACATAATAAAATATATACTCTAATTATTGTATCCCCAATGTTCCAAAAAATTTCTATTAATTTTATAAAATTTTGGCATGGAGAAAACAGCTGTCGCCGGTGAATGCCTAGCAGGTAAACCCTTTTATTCCACCACTAATTACATTATTAGCAAAAATCCTCAACTTTTGCCAAGAATGATGTAGTAATTGACACAAACATTTTATAGATCCCAATGTAATTATAATTGTTTTTTTAAAATGGTTTGATTTTTAATTAAATTTTTTTTAAACACTGGATGAATGCAGGCCCCTGTATATTATCCTAAAACAAAACAACAAAAAAAAACCAGTGATCTAATAAGATTTTAAAGTTACAAATTCAGGAGGAATATATTTAGTATTATTCAACAATCCATTTTAAAAGGTTATATTGCATAAGTTTATAGATGTTTAATTTATTAAAAAGATTATATGATTGTTATAAATTTAAAAAACAAACGCTTTTCTAAGTGTCAGATATTGCTGACAGCATGAGCTGGCAGGGCTTACCGTTGAGTAGTTCAATAAGAAGGTGTATGATGTTACTGTCAGCAAGTAGCTTGGCACAAGCGTCATCACTACACACTGTCCCCACTAAAATAACAACCTCCAACACCACATCATCCTCAGCAGCACCTGGGGATTATGTTACTGACTTCAACATCAAAGGGAAAAATAAACTACCGTAAAGATTGCTTAATATTAAACCTCTTAAGATATCTCTTTATCAATTCTGAAACAAAGGGGTCCAACTAAAGGGCCAACAGAAATATTAACTCTTGTGATCACGTAAAATTATTGCATTAACTCAACTGTTTTTTTTTTAAATTTAAATAATGTTTTTTCTATGTTCATCTTTTCACATTTTTTGAGTTCCACAAAATTGTTAACATAACGACTATCTTAAAAATATCGCAATTTTTTATTTCATAAAGCAGTTGTGTATTTGTTGTGTTGCTCAGCCGAATGTTTACTTACGTGGGCTGGTTAGTTACTTATGTGGGCTGGTTAGTTACTTATGTGGTCTGGTAAGTTACTTATGTGGCTGGTCAGTTACTGATTTGGGCTGGTAGTTTACTTATGTGGGCTGATTAGTTACTTATATAGGCTGGTATTTTACTAATGTGGGCTGGTAGTTAATTATATGGGCTGGTAGTTCACTTATTTCGGACGGTAGTTTACTTATGTGGGCTGGTGGTTACTTCTTATGTGAGCTGATTGAAACCTCATCATGCAACAAACCTGGCTGTAGTTTGTTCTTGATCCAAGGAATCAGGTTATACTCCTTGAGGATAAGCTCATAATCCAGGTCAGGGATGGTCAGATTCCCAAGAATTCCCAAACACTCCAAGCTGAAATCTTCATTTTCCCATTTAAGGATATGGGAACACAGATCTGAGATGTAGTCCTGAAAAAAACAAAGAACAACTTGAATTAAGGTTAAAATAACTTTTAGTGATTAAAACGTGTCACTAATTAACTAGTGAATTAGATACTTCGCAGCCTGGATGTAACACTACTTTAAACAGGAAATGGAAAGACACACAAAGTAAGACCTATGTCAGTTTCATCAGAGAACAAAAACATACTTGGCCAACTATTTCTTATTCATAATCATTTCTAAGTTCTTTTTTAAAAATTTAAAGTTAATTAAAAATAAAAATCTAACAATGAAAAGGTTTTTGCTGGGTCCAGTGTGTTGAGACAGGTTTCTGATCATCTTCATGACAAACGGGTCCTTGAACTTGAAAGCACGCTTCATCAGCAGTTTCAGACCAGGCCCTTCACAGATGAGCTGTGCGGCTCGCTTGTTGGCGGCCAGGTTTATGCACAGGGCTAAAAGTTGAATCAGTGGCTTTTCAGAACTTTCCAGCAGCATTTTCATAGCCTGGGGAAACCAGGAAAATATATGCATAAATTAATATAGATGCAATAAAAGCATTTAAAAACAGAATTTCTTTTTTAAAAAGCACTTTTCTTTCAGGCATGTCAGTAATGTAGAAATGGGCCCACAATTTCTGCATTTCAATAAATTATCCAAGTGAAATTAAGCTGAAGAAATAATTTTTAACTATATTAAGTGTTAGAAAGTTGGAAAATATGTTCGTAATAATTGCTTTTTCATTTATGGAATCAGTTAACAACCAGTGCTTTTTTTTTTGTTTGTAGAATTGATCACTTAGACTAACTTTACAACATTTACTTTGAGTCATATAATAATATGACCAGTTTTGTCAAAAGAACAATGAAAAACCAAAAGCACAAACAGTGAGAATTATAATTGACCAAGATAATATTAGTTGTTCTTTACTTCATAGGTCATTTTTAATTGCTGATTATGCAAGATTTATCTTAACTTTGACCTCCTCCTGCGATTAGCACCCTCTGTTGCCTTCCAGATTCCCACTAGGGCCTGTCTACTACACTGGGAGGTGGCATGACTGACAGATTGTCATGTGCAATGCTTGTTTGGGATGCCTGGCAACAAACCTACCATACATTCGTCTACTAAAATTGACTGCTGCTCTGGCGAGAAAGACACTTTTTAAAAAGAAGAAATCTGTATGGCTTTATCTTCTTTCATTAAAAAGTTATGAACGTTCAAAGTTCAACACGGTTTCTAAGTTCAAATGCAAACTCACGCTAAGTTTACTTGATTAGAAAGTTTAGATGATAAAAAAAAATCAAACAGAAGGATGCAGAATTTATTGAAATTGATGTACAAAGTAAAAGGGATGAGCTTATAGTTGAAGATTTATCTGAAACAGGCTATAAAAATCAGTACTTTTATATCGGTAGACAGTAAGGGAAAATGCACATGGTCATATTTTAATCAGAAGGTTCTTCTCAAAATAACCGTATTTTTTAAATTAAATTTCTTTAATTTTTATTTTTTGATACAAATTTAAATAATAAATTTGATTTTGCATGTTTTACATATATTTTAAATGGAGTTATGTGCCTTTACTTAGGCAGGAGCGTCTACTCTCAATGCACTTTAATTTGTGCAATTTACTCATTTTTTTTTCAAATATGGCTTGAATAACTCAGGTATACCTACAATATTAGATTGCTTTAAATTGCTTGCTTCTGTTCAAGTAAATTTAAATTGTATTGAGATCTATTACACTTCCACCCTTATGCTTAACAATGTATAGAAAATATAAATGATGAGTCCTCAACCTATTCATGAGAGCCACACTGTCAACAACTTGGGTTTGGGAACTCTGTTCCATTGATGATGATGATATTACTCCATCGACAATGCCTCACTTACTATAGGGATACAGTCTGTATATGTGAACATTGACTTGGCCTTGTCATCCATGCTGATGTGGTAGAGGATAGACAGCACCAAGTGTCGGTGGTTCTCATTGGCTGAGGAGATAACATACAACAATGATTTTGCCAGCACAGCAGACAGTGCCGATCGACTGCTTGCTTCACTGGAAGCACTATTTAGCATTCAACAGACTTGTGCTCTCAAGTGACTTTTTGACACTGCTGTCAAAATAGCTTTGGAGCTAGCAGAGTATCAATTACTAGTTCCATAATTTGTGGTGTGCAGGCTATCATAAGGAATCGCCATTTTTAAATTTTAAAAGTTTAGCTCCCTCGTATTTTAAATACTTAATAATAATAGCAAGGTGATTTATCATGTTGGTAGGGTAGATTTTACTGATCACAATTAGTATTATCAGGAGGTACAGAGATCATATTTGGGCCCTACTTAGTAAATTGACCAGTTTTGGCAGGAGACCGAATTTGATGACCTTGCTGCGTATGTCAGGATCAAAGCTGAGGTTCAACAACAGCCGTATGGTGATGTTGAGTAGGTCTTCATGCTCACATGGGACTAATTTGGTCAGCTTTTCCACAATGTTTAGGTCAACCTGATAGGGGTTAAAAGGTTTTTAAAGTTTTATTACTTCCCTTGATGAAATTATAGCATACCCATGTTTAAAACAATGGCGTGGACAAAATTATCAACTCCCACTGCATCTAAATAATAAAATTAAGCTGACTATCTTGTCTTTATTTTCCGATAGGAAAGCCTTTGACATTATTAGTTTAAAAACACAATCACTTGGTATTGTGTGATATCAAAATTTTAGAATGAATATGTGGTGGTCGTCAAGTTACTTGTCAAGCTTTGTTTTAAGGAATCATAATGATGGATTTTCACAAAAATTAAATGATTAAATTAGAGGAAAAAAATGCCTTCCCGACTTGCCATTTCTTTCTTATTTTCAAAGAAAATGCTGAGTTTTTTGAGGAAGGACACGACCAATATGAGCAGCTCAAAGTTGTTCCTGTCCAGTGTGTTGACCAGCATTCTGACAATGCCCTTGTTTCTCATCTTGAGCTCCACACTGAGGTCCTCGGCTAGATTCAGCAGCAGGTAGTAGGCCACTTAAGATTAAGAGTGAACAAATCAAAAGTATTTTATATCCAACCATAAAAAAAAAATGTCAACCTATAAATAGATTACCCTCAAATATCTGACACTTTTATGACCCCGATTTTTAATCACACATCTTTAAAAACATCTGTAGTTGTTATTTCCATGAGCGATTAAGAGAACAGTTATATTTTTTTTTAAATACTTAACTTAATAAGAAAGTAATTGATTTATGATAAAAACAATATATTTTCATTGACTCCGATAAAACACTTAAATAACAGTTCTACCAAACAAAGAGAAAATAACCTCGCAGTAACTGTTCTTGTTTCCTGACGAGACCTTCGTATTTCTTCAGACTCTTCTCATAATCATCTTTTAGCTTGGTGTTGTTCTTATCAGCATCAGCTGCAATATGTTTGATGTAACACTTAATGTAATATGACATTAATAATAAATTGTTACAGCTGAAGGAGATTCAGAGAAGAACGGGGAATGGTGTTTCACATTAACATAGCTACAAGGAGTTTCTTAATATGATTTTGAACATTGCTTAAAATGAAAATTTAATCACAAGATTTTGATCCAGATTATGAAAACTCAAATATTTTGTTATCCCTTTTAATATTTCATACAAAAAGCAAGCAGATTACTTACGTATTTTTACAAATGAATTTTTTCAGTTAACTACACACATTAAACAGTTCCGATGATTTTGGTTTGTACTTCTACATATTAAGCAGAATTAGCCTGGAAAATTCTTTTACCAGCTTTTTTCTTCTTGTTCAGCTCATCTTGCCAGAGTTCGTGCTTCTTGAGCTCATGCTGTATGATGGTCATGCACAACGTCCCCATCTTGAAGTGAAGGATTACAGCGTGGAATGAAGAGAAGGATGAGAAACAGAAGAAGATGTAGATGATGTTTGTGGCCAGGTCTGTGCTGCGTTTCCACTCTTCTCTCAGCAGCCTGACAAGTGCACTGACGACAGTTTCTGAGGGATCATTTAGAGTTATTTTAATGAGGACTCAACATTGTTATCACCATTTTTGGTTAAAAATGTACCAACTAAATAAACATTATGTTACACAAGTTCATGACCAAGTTACCATTTTGAAATAGCTCCTCCAGATTGTCAGGGTTGCGAGCAAGTTGAAGAATCAGAGCACAGCCTTTGACCTTCTCAGGAAGTTCCTCATAGAGCATCTCCAGGTATTCGTCAACATCATTAATATTGGCCACCTCATCCACTTCTGTGCCATCACCAAATGCTGGGTCTCCAGGCTTGTCTGACAGCTTTGTTTTTCCTGAGACTGTTGCAGGTAATGCGAAAAGACTTGACTTAGAACAAATATTTCACAATTTAAAATAACGTAATATTGGCCAATAAATGCAGGGCACACAATAGTAAGATTGTTTTTTTTTAAAAATAGGAATCCCCTTTTTTGTAGTCTCCAAAACCAAAATAGATTATTTGGATTTAAAAACAAAGAATAAATCAATTTAAATAATAAACTAGTATTTGGATAAAAAGTGGTTATTTTTCAAATGCGTTTACATAACTTTTGTGAGAATATTTGTTGGTTGTCAGCTACTGGGTGGGTAATTTTAAAAATCTTAAAATAAAAAATTTTCTTTGAGTAAGATGATTAAAAAGATATATCTTTTGTCTTAATACATGTTGAAAGAGAAGACGGGAAAAAAACTACTGACTCGGACAGGGTGAACAGTTTAAAAATATACCAACCTATGGCTGGTGCTGTCTCTTTCCTATTCCGAAGGTAATAAAGTAGTTGCTCTACTTCAGGCAGCTTGCTAGGATGAATGAGTTTACATTTCTCAATAATTTCTTTTGCCAAAGTACTGAGATCACTGTCCTCATGCAAGCCTTTCACTCGTATTCTAGATGATGTCAAAGAATTACAACAAGTATTATAAATGAAGAACCAATATTAACAAGTGTTGACGCACGAACATTAAGATGTGTTTTCAAGACATATTAACTTGGTAATAAGTAGATTGATTGGGGAACCTGGTAAAAGGAGTCAACAACAAAAATAAAAAGGTGGTTTGGCTTAGACTTACATTTTTTGGCATTCCTTTCTTTCACCAAGCATGGGATCGCCCATCTCACCCAAAATGGTTGCTTCAAGTTCATAGTTGACCACTAGAGCTTTCTCAGTTGGATGAACATCTATGCTCCCACCTTTAACTTTTCTGAACAATATAAAGTAGGTGATAAGTCAAGAATTTAACTTACTTTATATTCAGAAAATTGAATTTTAAGAACCTATGACAATTTAATGTAATTAATAATTAAAGAAATCTGGGACATAGTCTAAGTCAGTGGTTCCCAACCACTTGTCGCAGTAAAAAAGGGTCCTTTTTGCACATTATGTAAATCATTAAAGTGTCATAATTTATGTAAATGACATTAGAACTGCATAAAAAAATTCAATGGCTTTTATTTTCCCCAAATACCACGGCGCTAGGATGATTAGGTTGCTACTTCTCTGGACCTTTCACAATGGAATAAATAAATTATGTTATAATTTCACCACCCACTAAAATGCTGAAATATACAATTGGGCTTATGGAATCATGTTTAAATCTGAATGTGAACTTTAACATTATGTTTATGAAGGGTTTATCAGAATAATTACTTCATTATTTTAAAATATGAAAATGCTCTGCCATTAATGTTAATAAGGGTTTCCTCACTTTCGGGTAGCTCTTTACATTCCTTGAATTTTTCTCTTTTTTCTTCTTCATTTTTAATGTCCTTACAGAAGAGTTAATTACTTTTAGAATCCATGTCAAAAGTTTATGATGGTAGCTATCAATTTGTAGAGAAATGCATGAGGCTTCTATAAATGTTTGTTTCTAAATATATAAATTCAACACTTTGAAGTTGTGAGAATAATAATGCGTAATTTGTTTATTAAATGTGTAATAAATTGTTTTGGTGACCAGATGCAAAGAAGAAAAAAAATTATAAACTACCAGGACTTTGTTAATAAAGACTGTTTATTCAAAAAGAAAATTCATTTTTGTATGTCAAATGAAGAAGACAGGAAAAAATTTTTTAGCATTTAATAAAAAAAAATAAAAAATTTTGAAAAGTAAAATTTGCAAAAATGGGTACATAATTTTGTCTTCAAATTCCCCCCCCCCCCTTTTTTTTTTTCCTCAAATCTGTGAAATCAATATGGAGTTAACTATTAGTTAGCTTTAGTTCGCTATGTACCAGCTGCAATGTCACTTACTCACAAATTAGAAACCAAATGTAGAAATCCCTACTAGAGGGCAACTGATGCCACCCTGGGATGGGAAGGGCTGTTTCTAGGATGTTAAATTATAAGCACCCCAGTTCAAGAAAGTTCGATTGCTGGAGCTGTGAGATCTTGAGCCTTGAGCGTAAATTTACCCCTAAATTTAGTCCCCTTAACTTGAGCATAAATCTTCAAACCTAAAATCTATGACCTAGCACCCAACATGAAACATAAAACCATGACCATGTGTTTGTGTGCTACAGTCTAGTACAGTTACACAGTGTACTGTACTGAGAACATCATAAATTTGAATAATAAAAAATTATTTTGTGAATATTAAAAATAATAAAGACCTAACTGACAGTTTCATCAAATACACTTTTACAAACTTTAAGTGCAGGATCCACCAAAAATAAAATACATTTTTGGGGACGATAGAATTCGATTAGTTCAACAGGCCTTAAAAAAATATCATACAAGTTCTTTCAAAATAAATAAAGGTCTAAAAAAAGTCTACATTGACTAAACTAATAAAGAAAGGCACTAAGTCACTAAGAAGACTCAGGTCTCAAACTAAATTTGTAAAAGTAAAATTAGTATTAATTAGTAAATTAATAATTAAATTATTAAAAGTTAAAATAAATTAAAATTAAAGTATAGAGTGTATAGATTTTATGAATAGAAAAAAGCGTCCCTAGTTACCCCTTAAAACGGTATACGAATTTTCGTTTGACTTGAAACTAAAGATCAAGTTACCTTTTAAGATATCGTGCATCCTCTGCTTGCATCATTTTTATCTCCTATCATCTAACATTCGTTTGTAACAAGTTTATTGTTCACTAATCAGTCTCGGATATGCATGTTAGCCATTTTTGTTGAAATATTCGGCCAAAGCTCTCTAACAAAAATGTAAATCTTCCATAGACCTAGATCTTCTGCTCTTGCTATTTATGTGATAACAAAATTAAAGAAAATTTGAAATTTTATCATTATTTAAAATAATTAATGTATTGATTGTTTGATATGAGATTACGCTTATTTTCAAATGTTTTACAATTTTGATAGATTATGTTTCCGGTGTCTGGTACCAAGAAAAACTCTGGACGATACAGGCATACAGCTACTTAAAATGCTGATCGAATTCAAGTACGATATCGTTTAATAATATTCTTATAAAATTGATATCGATACTATAATATTTCTTAATATTTTTATAGTCAAATTGTCCAGGTATTAATGTTTACAATTACTCTTAACATGGCGGAAGAAATACCCCGTACAAATGCGGAAATTAAATCAGACGATGCCTTTTATTCCGATGCTAAAGATTACTGGGCCAACGTTACACCTACTATCGATGGAATGTTAGGGGGATTCGCCAAAATATCTCCAACCGATATAAATGGCTCAAAAATATTTCTGCGGCCCTTTTTAAAGGTGTGTAATTAATTGGCCCAGCCTTCTACTTCTATCTTGCCTTCTATTTCTAATTTTCTTACTATTAATTATTAATAATTAATTCGATTAAGTTAGAGCCCAAGCCTATTTGATGGTAAATTTGAACTCTCCATGCCATGACATTTCACATGGCCGCCATCTGTAATCTTGCAGTTCAGGTGCGTATATTATTTCTGATTGAATTTCGTGTTATCGCATGTAAAATGGAAAATTTTAGTCAAAATGGAACCGGAAACGCATCACCGCTATTCGGACCGGGTCACTTTGACAAAATAGACCTTTTATTAATGGAAAGCACCACCTTACCAACCCCTCCAAATATGAAAAAAATTGGATTCTTCTGCGCCAACGCCCATATTGCATACAAATTCTTTAGTAGTATCCATTGCTTTATCAAAGTCAAAGTACGTAATTAGACTAATGTCTGCAAAATCTTAAAACCTAACCCTATACCTAGCCTAACCAAAGCTAAAAGGCGTGTGCGGCTACAGTTACACACTGTGGTCGTGGTAAGAAAACTAAAAATGAAGAAAAATAATACAAAAATAACTGTAAAATAATGAAAACCAAACTTACAGTTTAATAGAACACACTTTTACACACTTTATTTCAGGTTCTACCCAAAAACAAAATCCAAAAGTTGTCAGAAAATCAATGAAATACAATATCAAACCCATTTTCCAAAATGATAGAAAATTTAAATATTATAATTAAAAATTAAATTAACTAATCAATTAAATTTTAAAATTATAATTAAACAACCAGTAAAATTTTAATTTAAAACATTATATCGTGGTAAAAGTTAAATAAAAGTTAACTCAAGTACAACACAAAGGGGAGTGAATCCAACACAGAAACTTAACATAAACACGTAAATGACATCATGGCGCGGGTTGTCTATTTTTTGCCAAATTGATAAATAAATGCATATCTTAAATTCAGTATATAAATTTTGGGGAGAGCAATGCTACTTTATTGTATCCATCTAGATATTCTGCAAGAAGCGTCAACAACCTGCAGTCACCCCCTTTCCTTGCATAATTTCAGCCAGTACATGTTCCTTTCCCTCAACTAAAACACGTGTGCAGCGACAGTTACATACACTGTGGTAAGAAAAGTGTAAGAAAAACAATACCAAATAATTTTATAATAATGAATACCCCAACTAACATTTACCATTGATAGAATACACTTTTACATACTTTATTTGACATTCCACCAAAAAGAAAATCCACAAGTTTTCAGAAAATCAATTATTTTCGGACAACTGTAGGCATACAGGGCACTTGCATCTGGCTGTGCGGATGATGTGTTAAGCTCAGTACAGACTAAGAGTATAGTCACTTCACTGTCTTCAGTCCAGCAGTGACTTCATTGGCACTACTCGTAGTACTTTTATGCAACTTATGCGGCTTTGCCTGTTTGAGAAAATTATAGTTAACTAATGCAATAATATATAAAATAAGGCCCAAATTATGTTACAGTGATTGATAATGGTGTGCTTTTTAAAAATTAGATTTCATTGATTTATTAAATCACAATTTTATATTTCTTTTTTTTTTAAAGATAACTGGTGGAACTGTGATAGCCAAACATGCTTTAGACTGTGGTGCTGGAATTGGTAGAGTAACCAAACGGCTCCTGCTTCCTATTTTTGAGACTGTGGACATGGTTGAGCAAGACAAACACTTTTGTGACAATGCCAGAGACTTTATCGGCCAAGATTCTAAACGTGTTGAAAATATATTCTGCATGGGTCTACAGGACTTTACTCCCAAGGAGGAAAAATATAACCTGATATGGACTCAATGGGTATTGGGGCACCTCGAAGACAATCATTTGATTAGCTTTTTTCAGAGATGCAAGAAAGGTTTAGCAGAAGGTGGTGTGATCATTGTCAAAGAAAATGTCCTCGAGGTAGGGAAAAAAATGTTTGATGAGTGTGACAGCAGCTACACAAGGACTCGTGAAGAGTTGAAATCTTGCATAACCAAGGCCGGATTAACTATATTGGCTGAGCAAAAGCAAAAAGACTTTCCCAAAGATTTATACCCAGTGTATATGTTTGCTTTGAAATAATCAAAATTTTACGCTTTTTTTTTTCTCTTTTTTTTTTTAATGCAATTGTATGATGAGTGAATGCTTAAGAATTTTATTTTTGAAAGTGTAAGTGGCTTTTACTGGTACTGAATGTTGACCTTGTGCTTAATATAAAAAACATTTTTCCAGTAAATTTTATTTTAAGTTTTAGAAGTAAATTTAAGAAGCTATTCTATTAACCAGATGCGCTATAAAGTACGGTATTAATGTTGTCATTCTCACAAGGGAAAAGGGATTATATCATTTTCATTCTGAACAGTTAGTAATGGAATCTTATTTTCGAACCTGTTTTATCATTCATCATATGGGTTGATCAGAAAATTGACACCCTGTCCATCAGTTGCTATCAACATGTCGGAGTCTGAAAAGTACATGTCCGGTACTCATAATCATAACTGGTTATTTCCTAATTAGCTCATTGTCTGTTCTGATTTGGAGGATGAGATCTTTGCTTATGGTACAGCGGTATTTACTCTCATTTTATTTAAAAGTAGTGTTTTATGATTTATATCTGGTGTTGTGAATTCTACTTTCCTCTCTCCACAACTGTGTATTATTCAATAATGATACGTTTCACAATGTTCAGACATCAAAGTAAATAAACACTCAACACATTGTTCTCTTGTAATGAGCAAAGCTATCTTATGCACCGGAACACAGTCACAGAAAAAACATTCATTTTTGTGGAACAATAAAAAAAAAAGTACATTAAGCATTCATCCCTCATCTAGTCGCAGAGCAATTTCAAAATTTGTATAGCTCATGCAAGGATATTTCCCATGGCCCAAATGTGTTTCTTCCACCCTACACATTCTCAGGACCACATCTATCAAAAAACATTTTACCAATCCTTCATAATTATCAACATCTCAGGACTTATGAGACACTGCATCCAATTACTGCAATATAGGATGTACTAACCCACGTGAGTGGTGATTTTTGAACTTTTACGCTAAATAATTTGTTTTAATGCATGCTACTAATTTTTTGCTACTGCTGTTTGGCAATAATCAACAAAACGCAGCCGCCCAAGATTGAGATAAAAATATGAGATGAAAATCGTCATTGGCTTATTTATGGGAGTGTCTTCCATTTTTAATTTCAATTTGCTTTTCCTTTTTCATGTCTCTGGATCTGTGCACTGATGAAAGTGTTTTATGCAATAAAATCTTATATTTTTTAAAGTAACCTTTGTATATAGAGTGCTTTTTTTTCTTCACTTCTGTTACTTTTAGTTTTAGCTTAGGTTATCTGTGAGTGATGGTAACTTGGACTTAAATGTGGCAATATTAAAGAAGACCCTAGCTTACAGATATGTTGAATGACACAGCTGATTTGGATGGGAATGACACAGCTGATTTAGATGGGAATGACACAGCTGACTTAGATTTGGGAATGACGCAACTGACTTAGATGGAGCTGGTTACCAAAATGGAAGCTTGGGGGGTGGGGTGTTTATAAAGGGCACCCTCACCATTTCCAAGAGTGTGGATTAGTATTAAAGTATGAACTATTAAAGATGAATGTGTCTGCTATGGGGAGGATGTTGAGCCCTAGCCAGCATGAATGGCTTCAACTTCAAACTGTCCTTTAATTATTTAAAACTTGTTTTGAACATCTACATGTAGAGAGCAATAGATAAGTCTGGGAAAGTTTATTTGGGATGCTTCAGTTGGAACCTGTATATGCCTATGATACACACCAGTGCTAAATTGGACAGAATTGTTTTGTATGATAATTTCGGGGAGGGAGCGGGGTGTTGAACATAAAATAATCTTTTTGATTTGAGAACAAACCTTCACAGTGAATGACAACCTCCTGTCAACACTACTTAGCTCACTTATAAAAGTCAGAATTCCCTGGAGCTCCACAATATAATTTTAATGTACATTACAATTTCATAATTACCGGTATCAATATCAATAATTAATACCATGCCTTAAACTCCTTCAAGTGATAACGGCAAGGGAGGTCATCGATTTATAAAGGGACACGACATCGCAAACAATTTTATGCCATCGGAGACCGTAGTGGTAATAAGTAAAAATTAAAAGTTAAGTGTTGACATCTGAATATATTATTTGAGATTTATTTACAGTGAGGGGATGACGTGAAACTGTTTTTTTCCTGACGCATATACATATCGGGTACAAATAAGAGGAGGTATCACATTTTCAAAAGTTGTAAAAATTACAACTTAGATAATGATTTAAACCAAAACATTATCGATGGCGATAAATAACAATGCTTGTTTGGGGTCGTTCACAAATTACATCACGCTCAAGGGGGTGTGGGGGGGGGTCGAGAATTTGTGACAGGGGGTGGTCAAAAATTTGTGACATCACAATTTAAAAATATTTTTCTTTTAAATTTAAATATAAAAGTTTCTAATTTTGAAAAATCTTTATTCAATTAAATAAAAAGAAATAATTTGAGGTTGAAATTGCCTCAGGTATTATAAGTAGGCCTATCGTAAACTCAGTCGCGCACACAAATCGAAAAATGACGCAAAAATTGTTGTGGCCATGATATGTTTTATGTCTGAGTATGTTTTGATTTTTCTTCAGGTGTGACGTGACACTGAAGGGAAACAAAAAAAAAGGGGGGGGGTAAAGAATTTGTGATCCTTTGTGAAAAGGGGGGGGGGTCTTAAAAGGTTATTTTTAGAGTGACGTAATTTGCAAACGACCCCTTTATATTGTTGTTCACTTTGCCTTAAAAGTGAATGTAGCAGTTTTTTTTTTGTTTTTTTTTTTTGGGGGGA